GGCTTGGTACAGATTGGATTTGTGCATGAAGTGTTAATTGTACATGAAACTTGAATTGAAGTATCAGATATATAATGTTTGAATGGTGATGAACGACATTGATCCAATGCAGCGCTTCATGAATTGTGTTCCAAATGTTAATACTACCTTTCTAGCCGTCACTCATTCAAGTATACTGTTCTGTTTAAAAAAACTTGTTAAAAATGTCCGGATCTATTTTTCCTAAATTGTTTCTAATAAGAGTTCAGAGCAAGAGTTGAAAAGTAGCAAGTCAGAATGCAAGCACGAAAACATCTATTTTGGACTCGTGTAAACTAGTAACATCGGTATCACGTTGCTTATTCGTTTCATTCAACACAAACCTCCATGGTGATGTATAATTCAGAACTAGCCTTCGTTTTAAAATACTAGTAAATGTACTCGGTTGTGTAATTCCATGTATATGCTGCTTAACGAATGACGAGTTCTTAACAACAACCATCATATACTTATAAATACAAAGCATGAGATTCAATCAAAACAAGCACAAACCAAATCGACGTTAACTAATTGTAAATAGATCAAGTTTGAACAAATGTAATCACTTGACAAAATATGTGAAACTCACACATCTTCATGATGACATCATCTGTTTTTACTGTCAGATTATCCGGATAATCATTTTGGGACTGTTTTTCACAAGATTGTTTCTCAAAACTATCACAGATTATGTCGATATTACTAGTGGGATTGGTAATTGAACGGTTATCATTGATCCACGGTTTTACTGTAAACGAGAGAGGACAAAGCAAATTTCATACAGAGTAAGTGTAACTTCATGCTTATCACTCAAGTCAAAACAACGAAGTAATAAGTTCACGTCCTTGAGAATGAATACAAGTAATGTAAATTTAGGAATGTGGGGTAAAATTCATTGACTGAATCTCTAAAAGTCTTACAATTATTTAATGGAGGACAAGACGAATATTTAGCAACCGCCGTACCGGATAACACACTTCACTCTATCAAGACCAAAAGCCAATGTACCATTTCACGAATAATTCAGTTCACTGGGAGAAAACAATGTGGCAGTGTTGATGTGAAGTATGTCAACATTTTGCTGTTTTCCAATGTGCATTATCATTATTTTCAGCTATGTTTTATAGGCAAACTTTATATTATATATTTAATATTATTGTCTATGATCATCGTGTTTTATAATCGATATGTCTTCACATTCAACAGTCTTCATGTTCTTAATTCACCTCATGGCGAATATAATGATTTCCTTCGATGCAATCAATCCGTTATTCAGTATAGCATCACTGTGTACGTGTTATGAGTAGGTTCTAAATAATCGGCAGAACTCACTTAACGTATGTTCTGTTCATACTGGCTACCATCACTACATTTGAAATTGTCTTCTGACAAGTAGATACGTGTTGTGGATATATTTTCATGATGAAGCGCATGTCTTCTTTGATCTCCCCTTTGTTATTCAAAACAGAGAATCTTGATGTTTTGAAATATAAATTCTTTTTACATGTAAGTTCTAGTCACTGATAAATTCAAGCACTATGCGAAGTAAAAATGTAACTCGAAAATCGGATTCTATGTTAATCCGTAATGAAATGTGACAATATAATCAAGAAATCAGTTTTCTTGTGGTTTGACTTGTGTCACTAAACTCTGTTAACCAGATGTTCGAGTTTACATGATGAATGTAATCACAATATATAGGTCAATATATAAAGAGAAAGGAAAACGTAAACATGGACGTACGTAGACAAGATGAAAAGACTAAATTCGTGAAAATGAAAAGATGTAGAACGAGATCAGAATCGGAAAAGGGGAAATTAGGGCAGAAAGGAAAATGAAAATAATAAATCTAAACTAGAAATAAACAGACGATGACGCGACACATGCACTTCGTCCGAACCTAGATCATCATGCATGAATTTGTGTGTCAGTTAAGTTTACTATCAATCACTTACAAACGCAACTATGTAAAGCCAACTACAAATGTAATTGTAGAGTGAGGTTTGTTGGAAATCGAGTGAAACAAGTCACTTGAAATGGTGCAACATTACAATGATTAATAGATTCCATGAACAAAGCAACATTGATAAATATTTCGTTGAATGCTAAGCGATTCGTGCTAGTTTTTATTTACCGAGTTAAGCGTGAACACTCCTAGCATTGAAATTGCCAGCATCTCTGAGAGTTTTCAAGAACACCTCAAATTAGAATAATCAACAACTGATAATTACTGGTAGGAAGCAGTTCAGTTGAATCATCAGCACTTCATCACTTTTGTTGAACAGGATTCATAATGCCAAAGTGAAGACACGAATGAAGCAACTGCCGTACCGCATAACATTGTTCAGCCTATCAACACTAGAAAAGAGTGTGCCACTTCATGACTGATTCAGTTGACTGGGGTAAAACAATGTGGCAGTGTTGATGTGAAGTATGTCAACATTTTGCTGTTTTCCAATGTGCATTATCATTATTTTCAGCTATGTTTTATAGGCAAACTTTATATTATATATTTAATATTATTGTCTATGATCATCGTGTTTTATAATCGATATGTCTTCACATTCAACAGTCTTCATGTTCTTAATTCACCTCATGGCGAATATAAGGATTTCCTTCAATTTAATCAATCTGTTATTCAGTATAACATCACTGTGTGCTTGTTATGAGTTGGTTCTAAATAATCAGTAGTAATTACTAAACGTATATTCTGTTCATACTGGCCACCATCACTACATATGAAATTGTCTTCTGACAAATAGATACGTGTTGTGGATTAATTTCATGATGAAGCGCATGTCTTCTTTGATCTCCGCTTTGTTATTCAAAACAGAGAATCTTGATGTTTTGAAATATAAATTCCTTTATACATGTAATTACTAGTCACTTAGAAATTCAAGGACTATGCGAAATAAAAATATAACTTGAAAACGGAATTCCGTGGTAATTCGTAAGGAAATGTGACAATATAATCAAGAAATCAGTTTTCTTGTGGTTTGACTTGTGTCACTAAACTCTGTTAACCAGATGTTCGAGTTTACATGAAACACACAATAAGAAATAGCAAATATCCGCAAAATAATCTAATAACTAACAATATAGTCAAAATTAATCTTATGTTCCATGTTATATCATCAAATAACTAACTAAAGTAAGATCGTGATGATATAAGAAAAATGAAATACTTTAGAAAAACATACCAGATGAATGTCTCTTTGAAAAATGTACGATTAATGCGATTCCAACAATCGCTGCACAAGCTACACTGATGACAAGAACAGATAAAATTTTCTGTCGTCTGGATAATTGAGAAAGTAGCATTTTCATCCAGAAGTATGATGAATGTTGACTAAACTTATCAATATTAGCTGCTTATATACACAAAGAACAAATATATATAGACTAATATAGACTAATCTATCTAATATTAATCACCATAAATAGAATAAATGAATTCCATAAGAACAATAAGACGTTTATCAGGTCACAGTGCCGCCAAAACAAAACGGAAGTATGTCAACGCTTCACATCAATCAACTATGCCTATTTTCTAACTAAAAAGAATTCTAACTAACTCTGTCTCGAAATACAAAAGAATTCCTTAGTTATTTTCGAAGATTATAATAATATATAATGCAAACCACTCTTTAATTAACGTGGATACTTTGTTCTCATTTTTTTTAAACATAGCAAGCAACTAATGTGAGTCATCATAGTGGTTGCCAAACAAGTTTTATATCCATATTGAAAAGTAAAATTTTCTGTATGAAGTTGTAAAATTGGTATTAATCTTGGTTGTAGCAAACGACTAAGCATTCAGTCATAATTCTGCCGAATCTGTTCACCTCTATTTCTGTCTTATTCTATTCCTTCTTCTATTTCTTTACTACAAACCAATACTTATAAATCATTACTGTCAATTATTATTGTTCAGCCCAAAGGTTAGAGGCGTCGCTGTTGTTATTGTTTGGGCCATTAGGGCCTACCAGTTAGGAAACTTCAGTTTTGGCTTGACGATGAGAAGCTGCATAACGGTACAAGCTCATCGGATTGGAGACACATTTATCCATAAGCTTTATATGGTACTGGAGTCTATCTTCTCTCATAGCCTTCGTGCATACGTTCTTTATATGGTTGTATTGCCTGTACGCGCCGTTGTTGTCAGTTCCCTTGTACTCTGCCCAAAAGTGTCTTTTGTGGCCTAGCAAACAAAGAGTGCGGTTCTTGATGATTGTAGCTATTGAGGACCGTTTGAGGAACTGACTGCTTTGTAGCACATAAGGGCGTGTGCAGTAAAAAGGCTCAATGAGAATCCACATCAAGTTGAGGATGAACATCCCAATCCACCTGTCGTAGATAGTCCTGTAGAGCTGATGCATTCAACCGTTTGAAATTCCAGCGCCTGTTATTGGTGGGATATCTCAGCTCGGTTTTGCTGACGAAACCGAAGGCTATCACGGAGTGATCGTTTTCCTCAGGTAGGCCAGAATTGAGAGGTTGCCAACTAGAAATTTTTCGTTTGTAAATACCCAGTCTAAGCACGACTGTATCCAAAGGTTTTCCAACGACTTGTCGACTTCACATTTTCGCTTAATCTCAGATCCTCGATGAGGTTTAAGAACCGAGCTACAGTTGACTTTACGAATACGAATGTTTCGCGAAATTGGCTCTAGGGAGATTGAAGTCTGCTAGAATCATTCAGTTATTGACATTCTATTTTGCTATATCATTTTATATTCATTGCGTTTATTAATAAATTTGAAAATGGTTCTAGTCAAATAATCATTAAATACCTCTTTATATCTTCATCAAACAATATACTTCTGTAGAGAAACAAAACTCATCCTAAGGTTCTTTCATATGAGGCTTTGGTAAATGAAATGACTTAATTTACAAAGATTTTACCCCTCTCAAAATCTTATTAATTGAATGTTCAATAATTTCAGTATACAGTTTCCATTATTATCATTATATCTATTAATATGATAAAAATTTTGTTATTTCAGGCATTATTACAAACGTATGATGTAATAGCTCAAGAAGTTTATGGCCCTGAAGCTATTCGTGTCACTCCACCACCATTGTCATCATTTTTAAATGGTGATGAAGATGATCATATGGAATCAGATACAGATCAACCACAAGTAACACGTGTACGTTTGGTACAATTTCAAAAGAATACAGATGAACCAATGGTAAGAAATTAAAAGAGATAATTTTCATTTATAAACAAATCCAATTTTTGAAACTAATAAAACTCGCTGGTGGAGAAGCTTCGTAGCTCAGGTGGATGATTTTGATGGAGTTTTGTTCTCTGAGCTGGATAGTTTGGTCGTGGAGCTTTCGTTGTCTTTCTGAACGACATCATCAGCGAAAATATCAACATCAAGATGTACAGGACAATCTGTGAAACGCATATGGAGAAGTTCGAACACTTCACTTCTATCTGAAGTTTGTGCTGAAATATTCATTCTAGTCATCACTACGCATTAGGGTGCGCCACTGCCCGGGTGCCCAAACCAAAACTGATGATTTCCTTAGGGGGCTAAAACCGGAGCATTCGACCCAAAGGTTTGATTCACAAGGCAATGGAGCAACGTCAGGAGATGCAGTCTCATGGTATCCAGTGACCAACAATAGTATCCTTCCGGATACTGGAGCCAATGTGCACCATTGGTTTGAAATCAGGGTATTCTAACTTTCCTAGGTGAATCCACCATATTCACCAACCCGGTTAATGTGCCGGACATTCCAGTTCGTAAATAACGTCCTCGCCGCGAGTAGGCAGTGAGTAGGTTTTCGCTAGCAGTGGTTGTGTGCACGTGGCCTTGTGAGAGCATTTCAAGAGGAAGAGCTGACTCTCCCCACTCTCGATCGTATCAGAGCATAACTCGAATGATTTACGCGGCGCATATCTATTTGGTGTCTCCTTATATCAATGTTTGTGTGTTTATATAAATAAATAAATAAACGCATTACGGTCAAGTAATGGCTATTCATAAATTATGCATGTCACAAATACATGTCGATTAAAAACTTTTACCACTCAAAATATCTAGTTTTATAGATTTTAACTTTGATATATAGAAGCTGAAAGTTCCCATTTTTCAACACTCTTTCGATAAAAAATAAATCATTGATCTTGTCTCATAATTTAGCAGTTATATAATAAACCCTTGTGGGCCAGGGTAATTTTACATTGGTTTTCAGGAGAACCAGACACCATCCAAACTTTCACGTGTCAACCCAAACAGTACAGCTCAACCCCGTTTAGCAGGAGAAACAGATACCGTATAGGCTTTAACTCTACAATCTGAATAGCACAGCACAATCCTGTGGCGCAGCCACACAGGTATCAAGCACCCTGGCTTCAGTACCGGGTTGGGCACCCGGGCAGTATCACAGCCCTCACACATATCGAATGAGATTTATGTGGCGCATATGTGTTTGGTGCCTCCTTGTACCAATATCTATGTGTTAAAATAAATAAATAAATAAGTAAATAGATAATCTTGCATCCACAACTTCGTAAAACGTGTAGTCACTAACTAACTTTATAAAGCTTTTTTTAATTAGTACTTCATGACAAGTTTTATTTCACGTTTAAAAATGTTTATAAAAAAAGCATAAGTGTTAGGTCCCGATAAACATGATGATTGTTAACTTTGAAATCCTTTTATGGACCAATACTAAACATATTTTTATCGTATAATTGTTAAATAACTAAACAATTCATAATCATATTCCTCTTATTATAAACTTTATTTTGACCCAAGGACTACTGTTATACGACTTACTGTTATACCCAGTCTATTAATTATTATCTCCCACATTCACAGCTACATTTGGCCAAATTTTGTACAAATGTTATTTTCTATGTTATGGTTCGATGTGGCCTGTTTGATTAGTATATAAACTCAGTATGTTTGAAATATTGTGATTCATATTGCAGAGACTGAGACTGGTGTTCTGGACTTAACTGACTGGGCTAGGCGGCAAGCAGGACCAATCAGGACTCTAGGCTGCTCGCACGTGTTTTACGCGTCCTTGGCCGATCGACTATTCGCTGCTTCTGATTGGCGGCTTTGGGCCATAACAATAAGTTACATTGTCATCTTCAGTAGAGCTTCACAATGTCTGGTCACATTTCAAACAAATATCAATGTTGAATAATGTGATTTGACAATAACATTGATATTTTGAAAGCATAAATTGTACTTCATTTTTTTGTAATTTAATACCATACCTATGAAGAAGTTAGTTCTATCACTAAGAGTCCAACATAAGAATAATGACTTATACTTTTGGATCAAGCCAATATTAACACGCCAACATCCGTTTGTATGATCATTTTTCATCATTCAATGGCTAAAATACACACACATACACACTTACCTCTACTTTGTGTACTTGTTACAGTGACTTCATTGAAATGATTATTATTTCATGATCTGATTGAAATGGAAAAACCCTTATATCCCATTTACCACAACTTTTCCATTGATTATTTAAGGTCAATTGTTTTATTTTCCTTCAACAATTTATTTTGCTGTAATTTAAGGTTATGTGAACAATATTTAATCAGTAATATTTGTCCCTACAAGAGCTTTTCACTCTCTCTTTCTCTCGAAACAGTAAACGTTTTCGTACCGAAACTAGCCCATATTTTCTTCTGTGTGTGTGTACCAATGAGCGTTTTGGGATTAATAATGATACTTGTGTGGAAGTTATCATTGTATTGAATTTGTAGTAGAAGTAACGGTAGTCATTTACTCATACAATCGCCCGAAAATGAATATATACTCCTCTTCAAAGTGTATGCGAATGGTTGACTGAAATGGCAGTAGGTTAAGCAAAAGCCAGCGACTGCTAGTACTAGACATGTTGGCTTCTTTTTGATAACTACGATCAATGGTTTGGGACGTTGGTTGAAATGGCTACAAATTAGCCACAATTATTTACATTCATTCACTTTTTATCTTTCTGTCAATCTTGAGTTTCAGTATTTCTTGTTACATACCTTGTCATTCTTTTTTCAGCAACCATAGTCTCAATGTCCAATCTTTCCTACCATTATTCTTACTGTATCACATAGATCTGTTTTGTTACTCATCTTCCTAAATTTCTATCGTTATATTGATGTGGTATAGGAACTTGGGTTAATCGACGAAGCTTTATGTAATTTGACAAACTTAATTAATCAAGTGCATAACTTAGTCAGTAGAGTTGTAAGGAAATGTCGAATATCTCAACATTTTCCATTGACTTTTATCTTGGATGATCACTTGATCAGATGTAAGTTGAAAATGCAAAGATATGAAAATGACGAAAACTTTAAAATAACACTGGCGGATTGCTTGAATACTTGGGCTACCTGTTACTGTCATATAGATACTTCAGCAAGTAATCTGCTTTTGTTTCTTTTATTGCATCATTATCTCTACTAATCGCATAACCTATTCATCCGCATTTATGAAAGGTTTACAACCTTTTTCTGTACAAGTTGCAAAATAGTGCAATCCGAAACATCGTGGTGTTAGGCAATATGCATTAGAATGAATGAACGTTATTCAGATGTCGTTTCCTAAACTGCTAACATCACTCGATATTTATCGTCAGGATCGATCAAGAAATAAGAAGATGAAACCTGTTGAAATACATTGATTGGAACGCTTCATTGTACCAAAAATATAATATTGCATAAGGTCATTGTAACGACCGAACAGCCAATATTCGGTTGGAACAACGGACTGACGAACCCAAACTTTATTCGATTAGACCAGACCAAGTTCCTCTGTATAGCCCACAACGCGTCTTTGAGATACTCGTATTATATTATATCAAAACACAAACTCTGTGCTCAATATAAACGGTTCTAATTAAGAAAGCAGAACAAATTACATCAAAAATACAAAATACCTCAAACGGTACAGCCTGTGCTATACAGTCAGAAGTTTCTCTAACGCAAAGTAGCGCGCTGAGAATCAATACAAATATTCCCAATCAGATGGGATCAAATATCTATCTGCAGGGATTGCAGCAATTCTCACAATCAGACAGTCAGAAGGTTAAGTCACAAACTGAACCACCCCGTGACCTTGAGCTTAGTCAAACACAACCTTACTGTCAATGGTCCGGCAACATGCAATAGAAAATTAGGTAACCAAAAATAAGTCTTTAATCAAAATCACATAATAAAGGCTCAAACGAGGAAGACTGAAGAACAAAAGATATGGTTAAACGAGATCGAAACAAAGGTTGGAATACACAAAAGGGAGAAGGAACAAATAAATGAAAATACTGTTCAACAAAGAAGCTGCAGAGGGATTTTCACTGTTCTTTTTCCGTTACACCGGCCCCCAAAATCCCTCCAGCTACGCAAAGACACCTTAGAATACATTTCTGTCATGGCTCTGCTTACTAACTGCTCTATATCAATGGGAGGCACAGGACTTACAACAGTACGCCTGTACATCCATAAACCTAAGCTACAATCTACAATTACTCGGCTCCCTCTAGAAGTTAGTCCCATTGTCGCTATAAATTTCTTTAGGAGTTCCTCTCCTTCTTATGAAACGTATTAACGCCATTATAAAAGCATAAATACTCAAATTGAAAGCTACTTCCAAACGTACGGCACGTGTTTGGAGACACGTAAATAGGCATCCATATCCTTTTTCCTCACTTCTTCCCCGACGCACTATCAACGGCCCAAAGTAGTCTATCCCGACGGAGGAGAAGCATAACCAGCCTTGCTGCACTCGACACTTGGGGAGAGGTGCCATCATCTGTTGGCCTAATGTGGCCTTCGCGCGTATACACCTCACACATCTACCTATCACTCGTTTAACTGCACTGGCTCCTTTAACAATCCAATAATTTCGTGGTATGGTAGCTAACACTTGTAATGTCCCGGTTTGACCATCTAGGTGGTGTCTAATAATAAGTTCTGTTACGAAGTGATGACTGGGTAAAATTACCGGATGTCTGATTGAGAGTGGATAATCCGAGTAATTTAATCGTCCGCCGACACAAAGCAATCCATCGATTAGCGTAGGTGAAAGATTTGTTAGCTCTTTTATATCAGTTGCGCTTACGCCACTGCATCGAGACACTTTTACTGCCTCCCCATACACTTCCTTTTGCACTAAGTCTAATACCTTGTGTTTAGCTGCATCCAATTCATCAACTGACA